ATTGACCCTCATAGAGTGAGGGGGAAAGGATAGCTCTCTGACACTTCTGTTTTTACATAGAAACATAGAATGTGACGGCAGATAAGAACCATTCGGCCCATCTAGTCTGCCCAATTTTCGAAATACTTTCATTAGTCCCTAGCCTTATCTTATAGTTAGGATAGCCTTATGCCTATCCCACGCATGCTTAAAATTCTTTACTGTGTTAACCTCTACCACTTCAGCTGAAAGGCTATTCCATGCATCCACTACCCTTTTCAGTAAAATAGTACTTCCTGATATTATTTTTAAACCTTTGTCCCTCTAATTTAAGACTATGTTCTCTTGTTGTGGTAGTTTTTCTTCTTTTAAATATAGTTTCCTCCTTTAATGTGTTGATTCCCTTTATATATTTAAATGTTTCGATCATATCCCCCCCTATCTCATCTTTCCTCCAAGCTATACATGTTAAGATCCTTTAACCTTTCCTGGTAAGTTTTATCCCGCAATCCATGAACCAGTTTAATAGCCCTTCTCTGAACCCTCTCTAAATTATCAATATCCTTTTGAAGATACGGTCTCCAGTACTGTGTACAATACTCCAAGTGAGGTCTCACCAGTGTTCTGTACAATGGCATGAGCACTTCCCTCTTTCTACTGCTAATACCTCTCCCTATACAACCAAGCATTCTGCTAGCATTTCCTGCTGCTCTATTACATTGTCTGCCTACCTTTAAGTCATCAGAAATAATCACCCCTAAATCCCTTTCCTCATATGTTGAGGTTAGGACTCTATCAAATATTCTGTACTCTGCCCTTGGGTTTTTACGTCCAAGATGCATTATCTTGCACTTATCCACATTAAATGTCAGTTGCCACAATTCTGACCATTTTTCTAGTTTACCTAAATCATTTGCCATTTGGCTTATCCCTCCTGGAACATCAACCCTGTTACATATCTTAGTATCATCAGCAAAAAGACATACCTTATCATCAAGACCTTCTGCAATATCACTAATAAAAATATTAAAGAGAATGGGTCCAAGTACAGATCCCTGAGGTACCCTACTGGTGACAAGTCCAAGCTTCGAATATATTCCATTAACAACAACCCTCTGTTGCCTGTCACTCAGCCACTGCCTTACCCATTCAACAATATTGGAATCCAAACTTAAAGATTGCAGTTTATTTATAATCCTTCTATGTGCAACAGTGTCAAAAGCCTTACTGAAATCTAGGTAAGCAATGTCTACTGCACCACCCTGATCTATAATTTTAGTTACCCAATCAAAAAAATCAATAAGATTAGTTTGGCATGATCTCCCTGAAGTAAACCAATGTTGTCTCTGATCTTGAAATCCATGTGTTTTTAGTTGTTCAACAATCCTATCCTTTAACATGGTTTCCATCACTTTCCCCACTACTGAAGTAAGGCTTATTGGCCTATAGTTGCCTGACTCCTCCCTATTACCTTTCTTGTAAATGGGCACAACATTCGCTAACTTCCAATCTTCTGGGACTACTCCTGTTAACAATGATTGGTTAAATAAATCTGTTAATGGTTTTGCTAGTACACCACTAAGCTCTTTTAATAGCTTTGGGTGTATTCCATCAGGTCCCATTGACTTATTTGTCTTTACTTTTGACAGTTGAAATAGAACCTCTTCCTCTGTAAACTCACGTGTAATAAATGACTCATTTATCCTTTTTCTCAACTGAGGTCCCTTTCCTTCATTTTCATCTGTAAATACAGAACAAAAATATTCATTGAGGCAGTCAGCTAGACCTTTATCCTCTTCTACATACCTTCCTTCTTTTGTTTTTAATCTAACTATTCCTTGTTTTACTTTTCTTTTCTCATTTATGTATCTAAAAAATGTTTTGTCTCCCTTTTTTACTGACTGTACTATTTACTCTTCTGTGTGTGATTTTGAAGCTCTTATAACTTGCTTAGCCTCTTTCTGCCTAATCTTATAGATCATTTTGTCTTCCTCACTCTGGGTTTTTTTATAATTCCTAAATGCTAACTTTTTGTTTTTAACTATTTTGGCCACATCTGCGGAGTACCACAGTGGTTTCTTGAATTTTTTGCTTTTACTGACAAGCCTAATGCAATTTTCTGTTGCCTTCAATAGTGCAAATTTTAAATAATCCCATTTCTCTTGGACTCCATTTAAATTGCTCCAGTCTGATAATGACTCCTCTACACATATTCTAATTTTAGAAAAGTCTGTTTTTCTAAAGTCTAAAACTTTTGTTTTTGTGTGGTGTGACTCAGTCACTGTTCTTATATTAAACCACACTGACTGATGATCACTGGATCATCAGTCAAGGAGGGAGCAGCAAACCGGTAGCTCCAATTGGATCTTCACTTATTCTTTGTAATTTCTATTAGTTTATTCATCTTTTTGTCGAATGAACAAATAGTCGAAATTCCTATCCGGAGTCTGAAACTTGGTGTGAGCAGGTAATGTGCTCCGCAGGGCCCTTATCTGCTCACACTAAGATGGTGGTGCCTAGGACCTAGATCCAGGCAGGAAATAGAAAGGGAAAAAAGGTGAAATGGGGGGCCTATAGGCATTTGGGAGTGACTAGGGGGCCGAAGAAATCTAGTGTAATCGGGAGTGTGGTTAAAAGAACAACAAATGTGGCCATGACTTGTGCTACTTTAATAAGCAAACTGACAGATATACACAGTAACGTGACATTTATGTTCAGCACATTAATGGAAAAAACATAAAATCTAAGTTTTACCTAACTTTATTGAGATAATATTTAAAGTCAAATCACACCATGTAAATATATTAAAATGACATTATAACTATAGCTTTGTAAAAGACCTTGTAAGGTAAACTAACAAAACGCTGTTTCAAAACAGAGCTAATTTTATTGCTTATAGTTTTATAGTACCAGTCACTGTATTGAGCTGTATAAGTGCTGTAGTTCTGTCACACCAGAAATTAAAAGACTAGAGAATGACGTCATGTTCTGCTGTCATCCTTTACAAATTCTACCTTGTGACCACAAAAAAAAAAAGAAAGCACAATGTTTTTTATAAATTGATTGTTTTATAATCTTAAATGACAACAGTAGACATGTCAAATGCTGGCTCTATAGAAGAACTAAATTAATGAGATTGGTTGAGTGGATTATTATGAAAATAACAGCTTCAGTAATTCATCACAACAGGTAACATATTTTCTTGTTTTCACATTCCCTTGTTTGATGGGTCATGGACTTTGCTGAGGTACAGAGGACCTCCCATTCTTTTAATGAAAACTACCATGCTGGTTTTGAGAGTGACCTCATTGAGTAAAGATGTGCAACATCATCATCAACATTGTGCAGGCTGATAACAGAGCAGGTTAATGAGTTTCAACAAGGTAAAGAAGACAGAAACAAGCTGTTTCCTCAGTTCACTGCATCCTACTGCATGAAGATCACAGCAAGCTTCACTCATACTAGTCACCAAAGTGCTAGATTAGAGGACCTACAAATGAAAGTGCTATGCAGTGTGGATTTTTGATGGAGAAGAGATGATCATTTAGGAGGAAGACTCTTCACAAACAAGCCTGGAAACATGCAAAATTTAGAGGTGCTATACTACATACAATTATTGTTACTACTATGGCTCCAGGTGGTCTGATCAAGTCTTCACCTGAGAGGTCTTGAGCTATCCATGTGTAATGTTGATGAAGACCTACACAGAAGGTTTACTTAGATGAACACAAACATATAAGCATTTGAAATGGGGATATACATAAGAGGTATATATACACTGCTCAAAAAAATAAAGGGAACACACAACACATCCTAGATCTGAATGAATTAAATATTCTATGTTCTTTACGTAGTTGAATGTGCTGACAACAAAATCACACAAAAATAAAAAAATGGAAATCAAATTTTTCAACCCATGGAGGTCTGGATTTGGAGTCACACTCAAAATTAAAGTGGAAAACCGACACTACAGGCTGATCCAACTTTGATGTAATGTCCTTAAAACAAGTCAAAAAGAGGCTCAGTAGTGTGTGTGGCCTCCACGTGTCTGTATGACCTCCCTACAACACCTGTGCATGCTCCTGATGAGGTAGCGGATGGTCTCCTGAGGGATCTCCTCCCGACCTGGACTAAAGCAGCTGCCAACTCCTGGACAGTCTGTGGTGCAACTTGACATTGGTGGATGGAGCGAAACATGATGTCCCAGATGTGCTCAATTGGATTCAGGTCTGGGGAATGGGCGGGCCAGTCCATAGCATCAATGCCTTCGTCTTTCAGGAACTGCTGACACACTCCAGCCACATGAGGTCTAGCATTGTCTTGCATTAGGAGGAACCCAGGGCCAACCGCACTAGCATATGGTCTCACAAGGGGTCTGAGGATCTCTTCTCGGTACCTAAGGGCAGTCAGGCTACCTCTGGCAAGCACATGGAGGGCTGTGCGGCAACCCAAAGAAATGCCACCCCACACCATTACTGACCCACTGCCAAACCGGTCACGCTGGAGGATGTTACAGGCAGCAGAACGTTCTCCACTGCGTCTCCAGACTCTGTCACGTCTGTCACATGTGCTCAGTGTGAACCTGCTTTCATCTGTGAAGAGCATAGGGCCCCAGCGGCGAATTTGCCAGTCTTGGTGTTCTCTAGCAAATGCCAAACGTCTTGCACGGTGTTGGGCTGCAAGCACAACCCCCACCTGTGGACATCGGGCCTTCATACCACCCTCATGGAGTCTGTTTCTGACCGTTTGAGCAGACACATGCACATTTGTGGCCTGCTGGAGGTCATTTTGCAGGGCTCTGGCAGTGCTCCTCCTGTTCCTCCTTGCACCAAGGCGGAGGTAGCGGTCCTGCTGCTGGGTTGTTGCCCTCCTACGGCCTCCTCCACGTCTCCTGATTTACTGGCCTGTCTCGTGGAAGCGCCTCCATGCTCTGGACCCTACGCTGACAGACACAGCAAACCTTCTTGCCACAGCTCGCACAGATGTGCCATCCTGGATGAGCTGCACTACCTGAGCCACTTGTGTGGGTTGTAGACTCCGTCTCATGCTACCACTAGAGTGAAAGCACCGCCAGCATTCAAAAGTGACCAAAACATCAGCCAGGAAGCATAGGAACTGAGAAGTGGTCTGTGGTCACCACCTGCAGAACCACTCCTTTATTGGGGTGTCTTGCTAATTGCCTATAATTTCCACCTGTTGTCTATCCCATTTGCACAACAGCATGTGAAATTGATTGTCACTCAGTGTTGCTTCCTAAGTGGATAGTTTGATTTCACAGAAGTGTGATTGACTTGGAGTTACATTGTGTTGTTTAAGTGTTCCCTTTATTTTTTTGAGCAGTTTATTTACAGTATGACTGGTGTGCATCCTTAGGAGGCCATATCTGTGGAGATGGATGTATGAAAGAAATATTGTCTGAAAATGTATAAAGTATTGAAGCACTTACCACATACCAACTATACACAAAGCACAATTAATGCTCTAAAACACAGATCCTGAATTAGAATATCATCTGGATGACAAAGCACAAATAACGATGACATAAAGCAACTTCATGACTAGGGATATATGGTCTTTAGAACAGTAAGAAGATATACATAAATAAAATCTTTATGCATATATTTATATAAACAAGCATCAAAATCACGAAAAAGAGCAAATGTTCTTCTCAGATTTTGTATATTTTATGTAATTGTAAAAATATTACTTGATGTAATATAACTAGTGGTAGGGAATTATTGAGATGTATTCATATATTGGCTTAAACCTTCACAATATACAAACTGAACAACAGAAAAAAATGTGCAGGGTGTATGTAAACCAAAGAACAAAGATTATGGATATTTATCTATTGTACATGTCAATTAACAAGATTTGCCATGGATTGTAGCAAAAGTGTGATGCGTCTAATTTGCAGAAATATCTATTTGTTTTGTAGTTAAACACTACAAAACAGTCACAGCTGAAACACTGTATAATACTGTCCCCATTAAAGAAAAGAAAAATGTCTTGAACAGCCTGCCTCACAATGCTTTCAAAATTGTGATGAAATGTCTCTCTCACATCTGAGGGTAATATGGTTATTAGCTCCAAATATGACAGACGGTATTTCTGAATATTTTTATGCCATTAATTTAAATCAGTGTAGTGTTTGAAAACATTTCATGCCTTCAAACAGCTGATGAGGTTGAGATTCAATTATAACAAATTGCAACATACTGTCAACTCTTTTTAACAAGTCATTAGTCAAAGAATTTTGAGTTGCATTGGTACCAAATGGAGCGAGTCTGCCTGAGAGCTGTAATTGTTGGAAACCACTAAAGGATTGCTAATGAAGTAAAGATCACTTGGGTCTGTGGCTTTCTTCAAGGCTGATTTTTTTTTCCATAAAAAAAAAAACTTTATACAGATCAAAGCCATGTAACATGGTCCATTTGCTAATTTGTCATTGGCATGAAACATAAAGTGAAAGCTAAGCTTCTATATCTGAATGCTATTTCTAGTGAGGAAAATCCTGACAAGAATTCCACTTGTGTGAGTACAATAACTAATAATTATGTCACTTAATGTGAACTTCAAAAATATGGGCATTTAAAAAGCAAGAGATAATACAAATGTGTTCTTATGTACTTACTGTCTTTATATATATATATATGCACTGACTATTGCACAAAGGGATTTTTGAATCGTTCAATCTTTATTGATGTCAATACAGAATCAAAAAGCCATTTGTATCTTAGAAAAACCTAATAGAAACTGCACAACATGTTTGCCATCATTTCAAGTTGAAAAGTTTGGGGCATCATTTGTCTTTGTCAGCTATCATTTTAAGTGGAACTCTGGATTCTACACAGCTGTTTGAAGAAAAAAAATGTTTTCCACGTAACACAGCTGCAAAGAAGTAGAGGTGATGAAGGAAATATTTACACCACACTCAGAGATGACCTGTGCACTTGTGTGAATCACTCACATTGATTTCTTATGGACTCTAAATTACTTTGACAAATTCTAAACAATAAGAATAAGCTGCAGATGCAGTGTTTCAGATGGTTTTTATAAGCTTGGGTTGAAATTGTATCTCTTTATTTAAAAAAACACCAAAGTGTTAGCCAAGCAGACGGTGCCCAGAAAAAAATGGAAATGCACACTCCTTCACTCCATCGTGGTCTGAGGCTGAAATCACTTGAAACTAACAGGTAATCCATTTTACTCTGTTAGAATTTTAAAATTTTCGTCTGCTTCACACGTCTTATAAACTACCTGCAAATATTTTACCTCACATGATATGTATTGATCTCTGTAAAGAAATCGGATCTGCCAAAAAATAGTGTCACAGTTATCACAGTTTCACTTATGTGAGTTATGTTGCTGCCACCCCCCACCCCCCAAAAAAAAAAAAACCCAACAACCCCAAAACACTTCTGCCAACTGTTAGGCATCCCATAGAAACTAGAGATAGTGTCATGCTGGTTTCATTTGACTATTGGTAAAGTTGGCATAATTCTGGAGTATATCCTACCCATTCTTACTCCATTCGTAGGATTAATCTGGTTATTCTCTTATACCATACTCTTATACCATACTCCAATGAGTTCAGATCTTAATCTCTATCCCACATGTCCTTCTATCTTGTTAGTTTCATGCAACTGTTGAATTAAACTTTGGCTTATGAGCCCACATTCTCCAACACTCTAACTCTAAAATTCTAAGGTACTGGAGGCTTCAAGGAATCAAACCCAAGCATATTAACTTCACTTGGTTACACCGGAAATAAAACTGTAGCAAGCTACCGATTGCTAGATTCTATACATTGAAATGTGTTTAAATACTGCTTATACTGCTTCTTGACCCTACCTAGATATCTACAGGATTATTCAATAAAATAAGAATTGTTGGTAATTAAAAGTGATTGCGAAGGGGATTTCAAAGTTAGCACCAAAGAATGTGACTTGGAAGGATTTCTTACTAGGAGAATTTTTTCCATTCCAGCTGCTTGGTCTTAAATTTGAAATTCACTTTGAATTAACAAGAATTCTCACTTTAGTAAATAATCCTGCAAGATTAAACCTGTGGCGCATAGCTTAGTCTACAGACTGGCCATAATCTTACTACACCTATGTCTGGAGAAATATTGAATATCACTGCCTCCTAATACTGGTTGCAGACCTTGTCTTTTTTGGGGGGCCTGTTTTTTTATTTTAGCTGTTGTGTTTCTCCTTAAGCTCAGAAAGTGTGTCCCATGCCATGACTTCTCTAGTCTTCACGGAATGAGCTTGCACACCATGGTAGAGACCTTATAAGGCCTCTTCAAGTCTTTTTTTATTTTTATAAGTAGTGTTGGTTGTTATGGATTTTGTGTTTTGGTCCATCTAATGGTAAATATATATTTTTTACATGTATTGGGAACCCCTAACCACCAATGTAGGTGGCTATAACTTTTATGGGAGGTGGATAAGCGCATGTATATTAAAGCGGCACTGTCATGGCTGCATCTGTGTTTTTTACCCCATTCCTCTACATTTGATTGTTCCACTACTCACCCCAAAATGCCCCTTGGTCCCTCATTTTATCTTTTTTCCACCTCTTTATTTCTTGTCCGGATCTACATTCAAGAACCTGCCATCTTAGTGTTCCCTGGATGACCTGTTCTGAAAATTAGATCAGAACCAAAGAGAGAAAAAAAAGAGGAAACAATAGGAGGAAGGTACGTTTGGCATGACAGTGTCACTTTAAATTAAAACAATATGTAAAAGGTAGTTTTGCAAAACCTTTTAAATTTTCACATAGAAAATACAAAGGGACAACACAAAGTGATTAATTTGCATAACTCTTGCATAATTATGTAAGGGTATATAAATGTGTAGAAGATGTCTGCTTTCAATTTTCTCAAAATGAGTTGCTTTTTGGAAAATCTAAAACGAACATAAAAGTAAACATGTTTTTAAAGATGAACTCTATCATGAATTTTCTCTAATCATTTACAAATAGGAAAATGTAAAACAATCCAACATTTTAGACCATTCTGCTCGAGGCAGTGACATCTGGGATAAGGTAGAGACAGATTATTTGTGGATAGTCATGTAGTCTCTTGATAAAATTAGATCTCGTGTTAATTCATGTCTGTTTGAAAACAATAGAAAACAGAACTATTAGGTTGTTGCTTGTGGAGTCCTAGGTAACTTAACATAGCGATCAAATGAAAAACTCCCTTAATAATATGTTAATTTGTCTATAATTTATTATTTAAGTAAAGATGAGACCTCTTTATCGTGAAAGTGTACTACAAAATAATATTACACTGAGAAAATACAACATATTTTTAAGAATGTAATAAATTACATGTGAGTAGTTAATATTTACATTTCTTTTTAAAATTCATAATTTTTGGACAAACACTTAGCATTATGCACTTTATATGAAGACATTTGCATCATCTTACATCAGTACATTTCATCTTGGCTGTTCAACGTGTCAAAGGATATTGCATATACATATGCAATTGGCAAAGACCAAAAATATTTTGCACATATGAAGTGGTATATGAATATTTAAGTTCTGCATGACATTTACATAGCTACATAGCTGAAAAGAGACTTGCGTCCATCAAGTGCAGTTTTCCTCACATGTTTTTGCTGTTGATCCAAAAGAAGGCAAAATCCCAGTCTGAAGCGCTTCTAATTTAGCAGTCAGATATCTCCTTGGATCAAGCAGCTATTACCCCATTAATTAGAAATAATATCCCTGTACGTTATGTTTTTGAAGTATTTATGCAATTGCTGTTTGGACTCTGGTAAAACCACCTCTTCAGGCACAGAATTCCACATCCTTAAAGTTCTTACTGTGAAAAAAAAATCTTTTGTGAATTTTATAATATTGCATAAATACACATATTTGTGATCAGCAATATCTCACGAGTACAACAGTACCCCACCATATACAGGTTTTATGGAGTTTTGGAAAGTCACAAGGTCAAATGTTTTTGCACATGTTTTTGCACATTGAAATTTGCCAGATTGGTTTGGTGGGCCTTTGAGAATGCATGGCACACCAGGAATGAAAATTACCCCCATCATGGCATAACGTTGGCAAAAATAGATGGGTATTCAAAATGTGGTATGTCTGGGGGGCAGGACTTGACCACCATAATGATCAGTCGCAACAATTGAAAGCTCCGGGCACATCGTGACTTATTATTGTTAAAAAGGTCCTACCACGTAGGCTTAAAAATCTGGACCCAATGTCTGGTGAATCCAGAGCAAATATG